GGATAATATAATACGCTGGACATGAAAACATAATTTTTCGGTGGAATGTAAGACATAAGTATTTTTACAATTATTTTGGTACAGAATAATGTGAAAGTATTGCTGAGTACTATCTTCGTAAGTCTGCGAATATTCCTTTTCGTTTACAATCATCAAAATAAAATCGAGCTTTCCTCATAAGAGGCTACAGATTTAGAGTGTTTTTGGCCAAACATACAAAATGAGCTGCCTAGTGGATTGGTACATTGTCTTGAAGAACCAGCGTACTTAGGAGTAAGTATTCAGGCAAATACGACGATTCTCTTCATGAGACGCTCCAAACCACTTAAATAAAGTCTGGACAATTACTGGAAAATTAAACTGTGTGACATTTTGGTAGAAATTCATGATGAATAACTTTCGTAGAAACACAGAAGTATTGTCTTAACTTTCTTACTTCTGACACGACAATGAGACGCCGGGCAAAGGTTTTCATCTGCAATCGATTCCACAGTCTTGTTAACACTTTGACACACCACCTAAGTTATCGCTGAGAAATTATCTCTACGAGAAATCAAGTAACCCCATACACTCTCCGCATCAATCAACGTTTCCTATAGGCACTTTTACCCAGCTATATACAAATTGTTCCCTAGCCTCGGGATGCTAGCGCTTCTCAGCGACGGCTTGTAAATGCCGTCGTATTTCCACGTTAATGCCTGGGGCACGCAATCCAGATTTGTAGAGAAGGAGTACTGTTCGACGCATAGTAGGTAAAAGTTCATTGGTTTGCATTACATTTACATGCTTCGTCACAATAATAATAAGTCTCGATTAATATTCTGCGCACTCACTTTCTCTTCTGTTCCTTGCTCAATTACTTTCTCCGCTTCTGCCATTCGTCTCATCCTTTTCTCCTCATTCTGCGTTGAGTGTAGTGACTGCGAGTCTGTCTCCGCCGCGTGCGCGTGAAGTAAAGGAGCGGCCGCGGGTTGAGGGTGCGTGCTGGCCATGGCCATCGGCGCCGACTCGCCGGAAGCGACGTCCGAGGTGATATGGACACGAGCGTGCTGCTGCGCTGAAGCAGCCCAAGGACGACGGCAACTCGCGCCCGTGCTGGCTACGGCCTCGACAGTACAAGGCCCGCAGGTACCCACCCAAGAGCGCAACACGAGGTTCGCGGCAATAAATAGCGCACAAACTTCTACGCCGTGTAAGACGCGGTCAAAAAACGAGCACTCTTGGCAATTGGAAAGAGAAATTCATCGACCGTAATATTTCGGCAGAATAAGACGTTGCATTAACAACAAAAAGACCCAAAATACGGAGTTGTTCTATGTAGGAAAGAAATTCTACATTACATCATCTGCGGAAATGTGTCTTAAAGTAAATCTAATTTTTTTCAGAGATCTTGTAGGTGTTCGTCATATGGGTCCATCTTATGTACTAGCGAGTCGATTTCTCTTCATCCAGTTATCCCATAACAAATCGTCCTCAACTCCATCCATTTGCAATAAATTTGCGCACTAATGGTGCCAGAAGCCAGTAGTCAAATGCATTGCCAAAAGTCTTGTCAAATGTTTTGCCAGAGACAGTTGCAAAAATCATGATTGCCATGACCGTTTAACTATAATTTCCATAGGCCGTGATAGTTGGGGGTCATTCTTATAGGATAGATTATACCGCTAAAAGCTATAAAATCTCGAGCGAAAACGTATAACTCGCCTCATCTGGAGAGTCGTCTTTTCTGCAGAAATATCAGGCAGTGGGACAATAGCGTAGTTTAACACAAATATATGCATGTATATTTGAGAGCCTGTGCTTCTGATTTTTAAGCAACCCATGCGCAAATGTGTAGGAAGAAAATGAATACATGTGTTAATGAAATATTAACTTCGTTATAAGTACTTTCAGTACTGTTCCAAGAGCTTGATTAAATGATATTTGTAAATTAGCTAATATTTCACCAAGTACCAGTTTTCCCCATTTGTTTTCAAACACTTCGCTGAAAGTGCAGAAATATGCAGTAAATTTGAATATGCGAAAAATATGCAAAATCTGAGAAAATAAAATTTTGGCAGGAAAAGTTAACATATTCATAACCCATCGACGTGCCCTAGAAGTTGTAACATTTATTAAGATACCTGTTCAGTTCCCGATATCCAAGGTTTTCTCGTGAGAAAAGTTTCTCCAATTTGAATGTCACTGGACCTCGAATATTCCAATCTCACAAATAACATATTATTCGAACACGGATTGAAATGTCAAAATATTGTGATCAGTATGGTCAATACATTTCGAATGATCCAATAATTTGATAAAATTAGAAGTATTGAGGTTGCGTAAATGTGTGTCGTGAAGGGATGCTACACTGAGAGGCGTCAAAGGTAAGAAAAAACAATCAAGATAACAAAGTTAAAAACAGTTTCAAGATAGTTACCGATAATTAAAGTAAATGACGCTCTACAGCAATACGCCCCTTTTATTAAAATTGGAGCAGAATATTTGAGATAGAACATTTTGAAACCCGTATGAATTCGGGCTACCATTAATTTCTTTTTTTTCTTCGTTTTCTTCAATCATTAATTATTCAATATTAGTTGAAGAACTGGAGAAAAAATTAAGATAATTCATAAGCATTACACTCTAAGGGTGTATGAACTTGTAAAGACACGAATGTTTTAAACGATAAAAAATGGACTCGGGTTTTTAATGTCTATTTTTATCACAATTGAAGGATTCTAAACTAATAAAGGTGATGAGAAATCTTGGAATGGCTTCGAAGGTATCTAATCAGTTCGTGAATGTTTGTTTTGCAGATGATGTGGAATGGATTGATTCTGCTTCCAATATCGATCATGAATTCTACCTTGTCTCCAATTTGAAACCAAATACAAATTATTTGTTCCGTCTGTCTTGCCGTAATCGCATTGGATGGAGTGAAAAGGGTATTCCTACTAAGCTGATCAAAACCCAAGAAGCAGGTAGGTATCTTTGAATTACTAAGAAAAGAGATCGTTGTATGTTTGCTTTTATGCTTAGGACACAAAATTGAATAAATTAAGTCATGTCATATTTGAAATATCTTGATATAATTGTTGGAATAATTGTAGAGATTTGAATTGGAATAGAAATGTTGTTGCTCTGTGTTAAGGACACCTCAGAATTCCATGAAATTTGAGTGTATTTGCTAAAAGTCTCCATACATACTTTAGTCCAATGGAATCTCAATATTTTGACTTCAGTGAAACTAAATTATTTTCCCACCATTTTTTTTCATCATCATAAATATGTTTTGTTTAAGAAAGCTGAGAAAGTACTTATGTTTACAGCAGACCCAGTGAATGTTGTGCATCTTTCCTTATTTATGATTCGTAAAAGTAACTCAATCTCACGAGAGCTATTTTAACAATAGAATAGTCTAAAAAATACTTTATTGACACTAACTGAACTTCATTATCACAGGTGCTGCTAAAGTGCAGGTTACACGAGCGATGAAACATCTGCAACAGATAACTGACTCTGGACAAGAAGTCACTGTCGATGATTCTAAGCCAAAGTTGGATTATTCTGTAGAGAAAACACCTATTGAATGGCGCAGTGAAGGATCTCTGACAGACAAATATAGTTTCGTGTCAGAACTGTCTCGGTGAGTTGATGTTTTCTCTTTATCATTAATGTAGCAAGAGTTTTTACAATGTATTCTCACAACCTGAGAATGAAATATATAAAAGTACATTCAATTTATTCCCTCTATTTGAATGTTATCTGGGTAGGCCTATTCCACATTTAGAACACTTTCCTAAATCAATACTCATCTTGGCATTGGAATAAAATTATTTCTGATAGCAAAATTAATAATTACCTTTACGTCGTCTGTCAAACATTTTCTTAATGTTTTCCTTTAAAAAAACTAATACTTTTTTATTCCGTGTGAGATTCAATAGTATATTCTTGTATTTTTCTTCACCTTTCGCTCGAGCCACAAAATCCGCTAGATGGAAGTCCAGCATGAGGTTTTCGAGCGCCATGGCTTCATGGCTTCACGAAAAGAGCTTGGTCGAGGAAACCGACAAGTGTTTAATGAAGATAATGTGGTGTTTCATGAATCGTGGTAACTACAATTCATCAGTTTCAAGAAGCTTGATTTAAGATATTTTTAAATTAGCTAATTATTCACAAATATTTAAATAAATTACCAAGTTTCCCTCATTGTTTAAAAAATGTCGCTGGAAGTGCAAAAATATGCAGTAAATTTAAGATAATGTAAAAATCTGGAAAATAAAATTTGGCAGGAAAGCTCCAAATAGGCTAATTCGTAAAGAACTGTGATAATCTTTTATAAAATCATTAGAAAAAATATAAGTATTTGCATACAAATCCGGGCCCTATTACTATAAAATAAATAAAGTCTTACTCAAATCCCCTCACCAAACTCAAACCCATTAACATCCCGTAAATACTCGACATCATCGTCACCGCTCGCACCGGAGTGAACTGCGGCCCATCTTGCGGTGATCGCGGCTGTGACTCCTTCTGCCTTAAGGAATTTGGCGAGAGTAACGCTGCGTAACGTCAAGGACCTGCGTTTCATTTTGCGAACAAGCAGGCCACGCACCGCGTGCGATCTTTACTTCCCATTCCTTGACCTATCCTCACCCCTTGCATATGCACCACACTACCACACAGGCCGGGAGACCGGTCGTGAGTTTAGAGCGTGTCGCGGCTGGGGCGGTGCCCCGCTGGTGGGCGATACCTGGTTGAGGAAAACACCGCACGCCGCAAGTAGGTCGGCGCCGGATTTCGCCATCCAGCTGGGAAAGAACACCGCCACCCCAACCCACACCGAGGAAAAAACATGCCTTACACTTACGGGCCAATGTCTTTGGCATATCACGCGTCCGGAATCACTAGCAATGAATCAATGAACAGTAGACGCGCCGGGACACATCAGTGCTCGCTGCATCAGGCGTTGCACGCTCCTTCTCTCCGGCAGGGGCCGCTTCTCCGTGGTGGTGAAGGGCATCGAGAAGGCCACCGACAAGGTGATCGTGGCCAAGCTGCTGGAGAGCCGCGGCGAGGCCGAGGCGGCGGCGAACCGCGAGTTCGAGGCCCTGCGCTCGCTGCGCCACGAGCGCATCGCCAGCCTCGAGGCCGCCTTCAAGCCGCCCGGCGCCACCGTCGCCGTGCTGGTGCAGGAGAAGCTGCAGGGCGCCGACGTGCTCACCTACCTCTCCAGCAGGCACGAGTACACCGAGCAGAACGTCGCCTCCGTCATCGCCCAGGTGCGTGCGCGCGGCTGCGGCTGCGAATGCTCTTGGCTGGCCGGGTTCACTTCAAACTGTTTGCAGATTTGCTGTCCGGGTGGCGCCGGGTTAATTTCAAACTGTTTGCAAATTTGCTGTCCGGGTGACGCCGGGTTCACTTCAAACTATTTGCAGGTTTGCTGTCCGGGCGACGCCGGGTTAATTTCAAACTGTTTGCAAATTTGCTGTCCGGGTGACGCCGGTTTAATTTCAAACCGTTTGCAAATTTGCTGTCCAGGTGACGCCGGGTTAATTTCAAATCGTTTGCAAATTCGTTGTCCGGGTGACGCCGGATTAATTTCAAACTGGTTGCAAATTGCCTGTCCGGGTGACAATGAGTTAATTTCAAACTATCTACAAATTTGCTGTCCGGGTAATGCTTAGTTAATTTCTAACTGTTTAAAAATTGGGCGTCCGGGTGACGCCGAGTTAATATCATACTGTTTGCACATTGGCTGTCCGGGTGATACCGAATTAATTTCTAACTGTTTACAAATTGGCTGCTCGGATGATGCCGGGTTAATTTTAAACCGTTCACAAATTGAAAATAATATCCTACTTGTCATGCCAATGATCTAACCACGACAAGATGGTCAAAACGTTGGCATCACAGCCTTCGAAATGGCGCCACCCGGACAGCCAAGAGCATTCGCAAGACTCTGGCCGCGAAAGTCAACGACTTCACTTAAGGTTACATCAGTGCCCTCTGGGCATACGCTGGGGTAGAGAAGTTACTAGTTTGATCGCGAAACAATTGGCTTTGGCACTGCATGATATAGTATCGACGCCAATTCCTAGAGAATCACCTGCAAATGAACATATTGACGAATTAAGCGCATGAGCGTTTAAGCAGTAGCTGTTAAAGCGGTCCCTTTTTTTATCAATCTCTCTATAACTCCCCAATACTAATACATTGTACTAACTTACACCCAGAGACCGCCTAAATAATAATCGAAATCATTATTTATAAATTTATTAATAATATTAAAATATTTGTATTAGTAAAATATAATTTTAAAGCCTCCGAATTTAAATTCAAACAATTTCGAGAAAGAACGGGTGTCAAGATTAATACAACGGTTTAATTTCGAACTGTTCACAAATGAAGATACTCAAATTGAAACAATTATCCTGCATGTAGTAATTGGGTAACGTATGTATGTCCATCCGTCCTTCACTGTTTTGTAGGGGTGGGGGTGTTGAAGACACCTACAGTGGTGAAACTTTGAATCACTGTCCTGCCTTTGACATAACATGAATGATTACGACGTGGTTCATCAATTTGACGAAAATTAAACAAAATAATTTTTGTTAATACAATTTCACTTACATGTTATGCCCAAGGATGAATGAGGCAGGCAATAATATTATGTTTAAAATGCACTTTTATTATGAACGTGTATACTACAATATTGTGTAATTTTTAATAAGAAAATTTCCGCTGGAGATGCCAGACTGAAATAGCTAAAATTAAGTTATTATCATACTTTCAATGAAAAATGTTGAAATTGAACTGTAATATATGATTCCCCGTAATGTGATACTTTAATGTCTGCAGTCTTAATGCAGTCTGCATCTTCTTAAAGTTGAGGGGCAAAGGGTGACAATTAAATCCTCAGGTCATTAGTGGCATTAAATATAAAGTATTTAGTATTGAAAAAATAATCCAGAAATTTTTAGAAATGAACCGCTTTCGCGCCATAACTTCCGCTTCATGTTGGCGAACTGCGCGTGGCGAAATGTACGTCATCAGGCGGAAGAGCGGGCCTGCTTGCGTGAGCATCGTCACGAAATTTAACGCATCCTTGCATCGAATTGAAATTGAATGAAGTCGTGTTTGTGTTTGTGCCAGGTGTTGGACGCCGTGCAGTACCTGCACTGGCGCGGGCTGTGCCACCTGGACATCCAGCCCGACAACGTGGTGATGGCGTCGGTGCGCAGCGTCAGCGTCAAGTTGGTAGACATGGGCTCGGCGCAGCGCGTTTCCAAGCTGGGCTCCGCGGTGCCGCGTCCGGCCGACCCGGAGTACGCAGGTACGCAGCTGCCCCTCAAGGACCTCGCCACAGGGACAGCACACAGCTGACAACTACTCAGCGGCCCCTAGAGAGCGCTTGTAACGGACGGTTACTCCAATTAAAGCCCATTGAAGCCCATTCTCAATGCAAACATAAACATGAGCTTGGCGTTAACGTAAACGTTAGGATTACATCCATAAGCGGACTCATTCACAATGCGTTCGCATAACCATAACATGTAAGACGTTAACTTAAAAGCTTGCAAGCTTCGGTGCTCATGCTTAAGTAAGACATGAATCATTCACAGAACGGTAACTCAAAGTCGAGAATCGGATTTGGAGCGAAGTCGATAGAAGAACTTACGCCATATGGGTCATGGACACAGTCGATACCTTGAAATCGATAGTAAACCAGAATGTCTCACAGCCAATAGAAACTCTTATTTTGCTTACGTTTATGTTGAGCATTGTGAATACTTCAGTCTATCACTTATGTTAATGTTTATATCTATGCGCTATGCTTATGTTCACGTTTGCATTGTGAATGGGCCTTAACACTCATCGATCGTTGCTGCAATGCAGTGCAGGGGATGTACTTCCCTTATACTACTAATAATTTTTTAACTTGACCAAGATTACGTACCATTACTAATGACCAATAACTTTACAAATACTGATCACTAATTGTTACATACTAAATTTACATTTTAAATAGCAAAGCGTTTTCACAATCTTTTGTCGCTCGACACCATTAAAACCAGTTAACGCCTGCGGTATATACACGGTTTTATTTTTATCTAATTTTAATGATCCAGATTTATTTATTCTTTCATTAATTAGATGGTAATTTGACTCAGTTTGCCTTTTCATATTCCCATTAATTCCCTCGATAAGAGAACATGTAGCATCATTCAACTGTTTTCGCATTTCCTTCGGGCCGCTATTCTGTAAATCCAAGTAAGTTTTGCAGTGTAAGTAGAGCTCAGTATCGAAGGTTAGAACAAGCAACAACGTATCAGTAAAAATATTTTAACAGCGCTGTAACTACGCATTTTTTTCTCGTTTGAGTGGCTAAGGCAGTGCTTCTGATCGGGAGTGCTTGGGGTTGTCCTATGATTTGAACTCTGTGGGTGGCATGATTAACATAGTAACATATGAGTAACATAGCTAAGTCGAATTCAGTCACTGTCTGGAGGAGAATTCTAGCGGCTGGCATCTATTCTATCTGCTCGGTATTTTTCCGTAGTTTCACCGGTCATCATCGAGCGTATGCTGGAGCAGTACTGAAACAAACAGGCCACAGACCGCGCGCTATCATTCCTTCCTAGTCCTATCCTCACCCTTTACTTACACTAACATGCACTACACTACCACCCATGCCGGGAGACCGGTCGGGAGCTCAGAGTTTGTATTTACTTGGCTGTCCGGGTGACGCCGCGTCCGTGGCGAAGCTGCCGACGTTTCGGTCGCCATTCTGCGACCTTCCTCAGGGCGTACGAATGGCGACCGAAACGTCGGCACCTTCGCCATGGACGCGGCGTCACCTGGACAGCCAAGTAAATACTGACTCCGGCCGCGGAAACCTACGCTCTTAGCTTAAGAGTTTGTCCCGGCTGGGGCGGTGGCTCGCTGGTGGGAGATACCTGGTTAGGGAAACTCCTCAAGCCTACGGTAAGGTCGGCATTGGATCTCACCATTCAGCGAGGGGAGATCACCACTAGCGCTGGAGGAAACCACATGCACTACACTTACGGAACTAACGACCTCACCCTTTGACGCGCCCGGAATCACTAATCACTCGAACTGTGTGTGTGTGTGTGTTTGCAGCGCCCGAGGTGCTGAGCGAGGAGGCGGCCTTCCCGCAGACGGACATCTGGAGCGTGGGCGTGCTGGCGTACGTGCTGCTGTCGGCCGTGTCGCCGTTCGCCGGCGCCGACGCCGAGGAGACGCGCCAGAACATCACCTTCGTGCGCTACCGCTTCGAGCACCTCTTCAAGGAGGTGACGCAGGAGGCCACGCGCTTCCTCATGCTCATCTTCAAGCGCGCGCCCAGGTGGGGAGCCGCTCGCGCCGCCTTCGCGCGAACGCGCTTCGCGTTCTGCTCGGAAACTTGTCTCCAGCCTCGCCTCTCTTCCCTTCCAAGCTCCCTCAATGCCCGTCCTCTACTCACCTACCCTCCTCACCGACTCCTTCATCGAACCTCATTCATCTCGCTTCGCCTCACGTGCTTCCTCATCTCCCTCACTTAAACTCGCCTCTTCACACGTCCAAGCCTCAACACACCTAATGTACCTCCGTCACATCACCTCATTTACTTTGCCTCCTCGTAATTGTTATATATACATATATGTGTGTATGTGTGTGTGTGACCTACGCATGTAACCGTCAACTGGGTTTTTGGAACGGCGAAAGAGATGTAGTGTGTCGAGAAACAATTGAGAGAGAGAGAGAGAGTGAGAGAGTATGTGTGTGTGTTTGTGAGTGTGTGTGTTTGTGAGTGTGTGTGCGCGCGCGCTCTCCAGCCGCTTTTAGGCTTTACTTTCCGAATATGTGAGAATCGTTTTTGTTCTTTCGCGTTCCGAATGTGTGCTCCAGTCCATTTTCGCTTTTCGCCCTTCCAGCTCCTTTTTTCTGCTTCTTCTTCTTTTCTTTCCGAATGTTTGGCCAGGTTCCGTTTGTTCTTTTCGCGTAACGAATGCATGCTCGAGTGTTCGTCCTTTGTTGTGTCGCTCAAGCGCCCCTTTGTTGCGTGTGCCCGCAGCAAGAGGCCCACGGCCGAGGAGTGCCACGAGCACCGCTGGCTGATGCCCACCGAGTCCATGATCCGCAAGCGCGAGAGGGCCGTCTTCCTCGGCAACAGGTTGAAGGTAACTCACACATTACCAGAATCCATTCACAATTGGGTTTAAATAAGTTTTCGCTTCTTCCTTCCTTTGTATTTGGCAATATTCTTTTAAATGTTTATTTATGTTCAAATTATGTAATTATATAACACTAATTTCGTATAATATCCTATCTACAGTACATAGATTATACACAATATACAAATATGTTTATTATTTCACAAACATCGACGATCTCCCCCAACCCAAAAAATTCTCGGCTGGATCCGCCCCTGCATATCTTCATCGTCATTACATATATATTATATTACATATATATAATTCCTTTTCTAGCTGTAGTTCAGAGAGTTTAAGAAAAGTATTGTATTGTGTAATTGTGCGGAGTATAACGGAATTTGATTGAAATTGCATACACGACAGGCATGTGTTTAGTTATTAAAATTTTGTTAATTTGCGACGACACAAAGTTTCTTAGCATCAGCATTCAAGATGTCGCCAGGAGACAGTCATCGACGTGCACAGAGGGGACAGTCAAATGCGTGCGTAGAGGCCACGATTTTAATTTAGTAGTAAAATGTGTCAGAAGTAAGTAAACCTGTTTAGTAGAAAAGGGAGCTCTCATATGTTGGCCCCCTTCTTGTCTTAAGCTGCGCACTCTTACGTGTACAATTCAGTCTGCGCGATTTCTGCACGGGAACATCGCAAAAGACAGCTTTTGAGCACTTTGGATATTTCCCACGCAGAAGGTGACGCGCGACGACTTTGTCCGCAGGATTTCTGCGAAGCCTACCACTCGAAGAAGGCGCAGGAGGCCACAAAGGAGGAGTCCCTGACTGCGGCGTTCAGCAGCGGAGGCGTCAAGACCCTGGCTCGCTCCAGCAGCGTTCAGGAGGAGCTGCTCACCACGATCTAAACCGGTTTAAGTTAGATTCTGGCTGCTGGCGGGGACGTTTCTCAAGAAGGTTCACAAGACTCCAAACAAAAGTGCCCGTTCTTGTGGTCCATGGGAGGAAATTGGCTTTATTTCATATCGAACTGAGGGATGCAAATACGGAGTGCATTCTTTCTTTCAGTTGTTTTCTTTTTATGATGTGTATGTATATAAATATAAAGATATGTAAGCACATTCATAAACAAACAGAGTACATGAATTTAGGTTACAGATTTGAATGCGAATGGGTGTGTGTACATTCCTTGTATATTGTTTCAGTGAAACATATTGTAAAATGTTCTGCGGGAGAGTATTTTAGCAACTGTTTCAATATTTTCAGAGACGGTAAAGAATCACTGACATGTTTTGAAGGATTCTGAATTATTAAATGTATTGAATTATCCAAATCAGATTTATCAGTATATTGGTTTTCTCCTTTGCAATTACATTCTGCAAAATCTCCCAAAATTAGACTTGCAGCCCTTATTTGCTATCCCTGTTTTTGTAATGATAATTTTGGCACCAGCTGCTGAGGAAGGTTACTTTTTATTTTTTGGTTTTTGCCTTGACAGCCGTAGGTGCATCCTCTAGTCAGAGAGGTCAATTGTGATGTTCGCTAACTTATCAAACCTACCAATTGTGTTTGAAGAGCACAGTTCTTTGTAAATTCCTTCTTGCACTTCCAAGACATGCTTCTTGTAATATATTCTTACTGATAGATTCCTAGCAATATTTTATATTCTTCAAATACATTTTTCTGAACAAATCTCTGAAAGATTTGCTGCTACATGTATCTTGGAAGGGCAAGGATGGAATTAAATATGTACACTATTTCTGAACCTGTTATTCTAAAAGAATATGTATAAATAAATTGTTATTTACGTGGGTGAGTAATATTTATTAATCCTGCCTGTTGTAAACAATAAGCAAAACACATTCACCAATTTTAAGAACTGATATGTCAAGTTCATATAATTATTGTTACTAAAAACTTGTTATATTGAATTACATACAGTCAAACATACTCCCTCCTCTCCATGCCAGCTTTCATTGCTAACTGAGCTCAGCCTATAGTTGGACGACACATGGAAAGTATTTGCTACATTCCGATGCTTCTGGCACCTCAGAAAATGGTTCAAAAATAAGTTGCATTATAACAATATTTCTCTTCAATATTAAAGGTGTAGGGCAGGTTCGGAACTAGTGATGCTAAAACTGCACGTACTTTCTCGCACGTATTTTGACGCCAAATTACGGGGAAAGATCTCAAATTCTCCAAATCAAAATTGTAGGTCACCTTATTTCAAAATATATCTTTAATGAACAGATTTCATTAAGGGGAAAATGCCTATTTCATATTTTTCTTGTACGAAGACTTCGAAATTTTTATAAACTTTCAATTTCAAAAAAATCTAGGTTTTTAACGAAAATGAGACCTGCACTATTCTTTTAAACTATCCACCAAAACAAATTAATCAAAAACGATGGAGCTATTTTTGGAAAATGCCCTTGAGGTTTTATGTAACGTACACCCCCTCAATTAAAATATCAGCTTCAAATTCAAGGGACCGCAACATCAACCATATCGATTGGGGGATATCAGTTTTGTAGAAAATCGGCGGAACGGTTTAGCCGCTAGCGTTGTTGACGGACGGACAGGCAAGTTTTCCGCCATTCGATTTCTCTCTACTCCGTAGCGAGAGAGTAAAAAGGAGACTGTCACTATTTGCTATTTGTCACGACTCAAAATTACCCGAAAATGACTAACCTATAAAAGAAATGTACACTTATTGAACATTTAATAAGTATAGGGCTTAGGTAACCGCAATCAATTGCAAAAACCTAATTTTCATTCAAACTTCCGAATTTACGAAAATTAAATCCATTTCAAACATCTAAACGTCTGAGGCAAGAATGCTGTACAGCTCCTCACCTCTTCAAAATGTATTTAAATGCTGAACTAGAAAATTGGAAACGTAAATGTCGGAACATGGGGATAGAAGTTAATAATGATTATTCCACTCGTGGAATTAAAACCAATAGTGTTTAACTACACATACAAAATGCCCCCAATCAGGGCAGTGTATCTAAAAAAAAAAGGTTATCGCTTTTTCTATCCGATTTTTCTTACCGCTTCTCCCTACTGGCCAATCATAATCTGTGACTCACCTATCTTAGGAGGCGGTATACATCGATCGCTATGTCGATGTGCAATGAACAGCGCTTGTACTATAACACAACCTCTGATTTTAATATACGCTTTCAGTTACTTGCAATATTTTGCGCATTTTGGAACTCTGTTGGACATAATTTCACTCGTGAAATAGTCCTATTAAACACCACTCGTGCTTTGGAAATTCTCAGATAAATCCCCTCCTCGCTTCGCGAGTCTGGAATTTATCGACGATTTCCAAAGCACTCCTGTTATTAACTATGATAATTTTTTTACACTTCACCTCGCTGATGACTAGGTTATTCTTGCCGAGGATGAAGATATGCTGTGGAAACTAAATGAAGAATACACATCTTAAGGTTTAACTAAAAATCTATCAAAAACGTAATATGTTGTTGCTGGGTCGCAAGGAACAAACTTAATAATTAAGAACAGGTGTATTAAAGATACAAAGTTTATACGTGCCTCGGAGTATGTATATCACAGTAAGGTGAAAGTGCAGAAGTAAAACACAGGATCTCCCAAGGGAGAATAGAGAATATTTGAGTAATGGTTTGTAGACCCACAAAATAACAAATACGACAACGATAACAATCGCTGGTTAAAATTATACGTACATATGGCTCAGAAGTTTGAATTCTAAGTAAGAGCGAAGAGCAAATTTAAAAATCAATGGAAATGAAATATTGGAGAGGCTGTTGTGGCCTTACATTACTGGATAAAGTACCCACTTAATGTTGACATAAATAAAATTGAATGAGTATACAATTGATGAATTTGTGCAAAAAGATTGAGAAGGTATGATCATATCCAAAGGATGACGGAAAGTCAATGGCCTAACAAACTTTTAAAATGGTTGCCTCAAAGAAGTAGGAAGCGTTGTAGAGCAAGAAAAACATGGAAAATG